GCCGGGGACCGGGGGGGGGGGAACGAATGGATCCGGAGAGGGGAGCCGAGGAAGGGGGGGGGTCTCTCGGTGCATCCCGGCCCCCTGCCCGGCTCGGGGCCGCTTGTCCTCCCCCCGCGCCGATATAAATAGTAGCGTCTTCCCGTTCCCTAAATTTCCTCGCTGACGTAGCGCTCACGTCATTGTGTAGGTTGATGCTTTTCTATGAATGAGCCGAGATCCCCGTTACTACGAGCCCGATCCTATAAAAGCCCCGCGCTCTGCGGACAGCGCAGCACCGCCACCGGCGCCTTCCCCCCCCCCCCCCGCCCGCCCCCCCACCGCCCCGGGATCAGCAGCGGGGAACCGGGACCGGGCCCCCCCGGCCCGGCAAGCACCGGGGCCCGCAGGAGGTAAGGCACCGGCACCGGCAGCGCTGGCCCGCAGGTAAGCAGGGACGGAGCCCGCTGCGGGAGCGGGAAGGGGCACCGGGAGCTGCTCCTGCCCGCCCCGGGGATGGAGGTGGGGGGAAGGAGGGAGGCGGAGCGGGAGGACCGGAGGGGGGGGGGGGGCTCTGCGGCGGGCGCGGGAGGCGCGGTACCGCCTGGCGCAGCCCCACGTGCGGGCCGGGGGGCGGCGGGGTCGAGGGGGGGGGGGCGGAGTTGCCCCGGGGGGGTTGAGCACGGTGGGACCGGACCGCCCGCTCCTTGCCCCATGGAACCGGGGGGGGACGGACCCGCATCCGCGTGTGTGTGCGTGCCCCCCGCCGCGAGTCTGTCCGGTCCATCCCGGACGGGACAACCCAACCGCCCCCCCAGCCGCACCCCCCAAACCCCTCGGGTTCCCCCTCATCCTCCCATCCCATCTGCGCCAGCCCCGCAGCCCCGGGGGGCGATCGCCTTCATGCCGGGTGGAGGGGGGGGGGAACGGGGACCGTCGGAAGAGCGCGGAGACCCCCGTCGAGGAGAGCCCGAGTCAGCGCGTCGGCACCTTGGCTCTAGACTGCTTACTGCTGCGTAGGGACAGGACAGTAACAGTCTACAGTCATGGCTACTGAAGCATGACCCACCGCCGGCCCCCCAGCCCCGGCCCCGCCGCAGCGCCGAGGGGGGGTTTGGGGGGGATGAGCTGTCCGTGGTGCTGAGCCGTCGGGGATCGCTCCCCGCGGCCGCGTTGTGCGGGGGGAGGCAGAGGAAAGGGTTAAGGATGAGGATGGGGGGGGGGGGGGGCGCTCCCGGTGCCCGCCTGACCCCGCTCTCTCTTTCCCCCCCCGCAGACACCCCACGGCGGACGCCCCCCCCCTTCCTGCTGCAGCACAGGTAGGGGGGGTCCCACCCGGCGGGGGGAGGAGGAGGCGGGGAGGGAGATGTAGGGGGATTGTGGATGGCACCGACACCCCCCCCCATCCTGCTCTAAGCACCGGACACCCCTTACCCCCCCCCCCCTTCGAGCCGCGGTGGGGGTCGGGCGCGCTCGCTGCGGTGGCGGGGCCGCCTCCTCGCCGTCGCCAAGGCACCGGCTCTGTGTCTGTGTCTCTATGTGTGTGTGTGTGTGTGTGTGTGTGTCCTTCCCCCCCCCCCACCCCCCGACGCCGCCCCCCCCTTCCGACGCCGCCAGGGCGACCGTGGCTTTAGATTGTTACTGTGCCGCTGGGGGGGTAACAGTCTACAGCCATGGTCGCCGGGCCCGGCGGACTCGCACCGGCTCCCCCATCACCCTAAACCCACCCCTCTCCCTCCCCTTTAACCCATCGGGGGGTACCGGAGAGCGTTAGGGTCCCGTCGGGGGCTGCCCGCCTCCCGGGGCAGTAGGAGCTCACATGCAGGATGCAGCTCACCGCACATCAACTCTTACTGTTCGGGGGGGCGGGCGCCGAGCGGCTCCTCCTCGGACAAGGCGAACGGCGGGACCCCTCCGTGCACCGACATCACTCTATATATGTGTGTGTGTGTGACCCGGCCCCGCAGCCCCTCACCTGCCCTCCGCATCCATGAGCGGCTCCCGGCTCCCATGTCCCGTCCTTGTCGCCGTCGGGGATGCCCGGGGAAGGGGCCAGCGGGGCCGTTCTCGGTAGCGGAGCTCGGGGCCGGCGCAGCGGGACTGAACGGGGCCGGGCCGGTCCGGGGCGGGCGGCGGCCGGGGGCGGGCGCAGGTTGCACAACCGGCCCCGAGCGGCCAGGAGATTCCTGAGCGGCGAAGTCAGAGCAGCCCGGCCCGGCCTGCCCCGGCAGCGGGCACCGGGCCCTCGGAGGCCGGCAGCGACCGGTACCGGCCAGGCAGGGGCCACCGGGGACCCAGAGCCCCGGGAGATGGGGCTGGATGGGGAATGGTGACCATGGAGATGCTGGATGGGATGGGGGGACAGCCCCCCCCCCCCCCAAACAAGGGCTTTCAATGCCAAGGGTGCTGCAACTCCAGCACAGGGGAGCCCCCTAAGGCAGGGGTTGTGCCAGGCAGGGCCCCTTGCCCATGCTCCCCTTTAGGAGCACCCATCAGCTCTGTCCTCACCCAGGGGGTGGCGCTGGGGTCCCCAGGACCATGGCACAGCAAGGGGGTATCGCAGGCACTGGGTCTCTGCTCCATTCCCTACCAGTGATTCCCTTTGCTCCCTGCTTTTCCCATTGCTGTGGATGGCAGCTGGCCATGTGCCACATGACTCCAGGAAGGGGATTTTGGGGCAGCCCCACCACTTGTTTAGCACAGCAGAAGTTGTTTCTGGCCATGAAATCCATTCCCTGCATGGGCCGTGGCATCCAGGGCCCTTCCGTGGGTGATGGGACGCATCCCATGGGCAGCACCGTGGCCCCTGGACCCCATGCTCCAGCCCTGGGAAGGCTCCGTCTGCGCTGTTGTTGTTTTGAAGGCCAAGTCTCTGCTGCTGACACCCCTGGAATTAAGTTTTGTTTCCAGAGTCCTTAAAAATATCCCGGATTTCTGACACTGGGATTTGTCTTCCAATGGTGCTTCCAAGCCACCGGGCCCGCGGCCAGCCGTCAGCACCGGGGGATGAAGGGTGTCCGGCTCCCGTGCTCCTCCTCAGCATGGAGACAGGGGAGGACCTCACCAATTCCACACTGGGACGGTGCTCAGTGGGGTGCAAACCTCAACCTGGCTCCTGGCAAGCATCCCTGTGCTCGGTTAGGAGTGATTTTCCAGGGGGATATCCAGCAGCCATGACCCTATGGAGCCCCACAGCTGATGATGGAGCTGCTACAAGTGTGTCCCCCGCTGGCTGGGAGCTCTGTGCATCCCTATGAGAGCACATGGCCCTGAAATCCAACCTGAGAGCTGCTCCCAACGGGGGATCCACGTGGGAACGGTGGGGATTTGGGGTGGGATGAGGGGTGCAGGAGAGGGGTTGCCTCCCCCCGATGAAGGCAGGGATGCTGCCTGCCCACCGCAAGCGCTGTTGTTGCCATCTGACAGCTCTTGGCCGAAGGAGCTTCTGTGATTCAGCCGTGTTTATCCCAGCCCCGCGGCCCGGCCCAGCGTGGGTTTCCATGGAAAACTTCCATCCAAAACAAGGAGAGAAGGAGCTACAGCGGGAGTGACTCAGCCACAACTGGAAGCTTCTGCGGGTGAAGCAAGACGAGGGGAGGGGGGGACTGTTCCCAAAGGCTTGGTCCCGGCTCCTGGCAGCGGGTCTTAGGGATGGCCCCGGCTCTCTCCTGTTGGGGGGAGCTGCGTTGTGTAACCCCCCCCCCCCACAGAGCCTCTTGTGGGGACAGGGGAGGAAGAGCATGGGATGAGTAAGGCTCAGCCCCATCGGGTGGGCAGCGGAGGAGGGCCTGAGTCAGCCACAGCACAGGGGAAGGGATGTGGGTGTTTGGGGGTGGCAGCAGCTCCTGCCCATGCTGGGCTCCTCCTGCCCTCCCTGGGATGCTGGGGTAGGATAAGGATCCCACTTGCAGAGGGGGGACCCCCCCCTTCTTGCCATAGCACCAGGCTGGGTAACACCGGTGGCTGTCCCCAGGCTGGGGTTTGCTCTGTCATCCCCTTGCTCATGGACCCCAATTGCAGCACAGGGGTTTGGGGGAAAACCCAGCTCCTCTGGGCCCTGAGAGAGGAAACCCCCATAAGCCAAGAGGCAAGAGGACACTGGTCACTTGCTTCCAAGCTCAACTGCATGGGTAGAATGGATCCAGACCTGGATCTGTGACAGGGGCCGGCATGAACGTGGGAAAAGAGGCATTCCCAAGGGAAATCCCTCTGGTGACAGCCACAGCAGCCACTTCCCCCCTGCTGCTGCACCAGAGGCCAAGCACCACCTTCCCCTGCTGCTCTCACCTTTATTTGTCTCTGTGTTATTTAAACGGGTACAGGAGCAGGTCCCGCAGCATCCCCGTCCCGCAGCATCCTCCTGCCCCGCAGAGCCGGGCTCCGTCCCAAGAGGCAGGGAGTTGCGGCGGGATCACGCCGGTGTGTGGCTGCGGGCCCGCAGTGCAGGCGCCGGGGCTGCAGTGCCTCCGCCACGCCGCTGGGCCGGGATTGCTCCGTGGTGATGGAAGAGCAAACACCGAGCTCTCTGCTGCCATCCTGCCTCCTGCAGAGACACAGGCCCAAGGTGCGGCCCTCCCCGGCCACAAAGCGGCCTCTGGTGTCCCCAGGACGGTAACCAAGGGGTGACAAACACCAGAGGGGTGCTCTGTGAGGTGATGGAGCAGGCCTCAGGAACCAGCCACATCCTCCTGCCACCACAGAACCAGCAACAAGGCACATGCATGAGGACTTGCTCCTGCTGGGATGGTTTTATCCCAGTGCAGCTCCCAGGCCTGTTCCTGGCTGAGTGAACACTGGAAGTGCTGCTGGTCCCTGTCCCGAAGCCTGCTCCATCCACAGCATCCTCCATCCCTCGCAGTGCCCCACCACACTGCACAAACAAGGGGCAAATGAAGAAGTTTCATCCTGATTTTTACCAACTGCATTGCACTGTACCCCCAAGGAAAGCCATGGTTAGGAGCCCTGTGAGCAGAGACCTGGGTATGGCACCTCTGGGCTGTAGATACCTGGAATTATAACAATAATAAAAGATTTCCATGTTTCTGGCAAACACAGGAACCAAAAGCATAGCGACAAGTTCTTGTTCACAAAGGCACTTTGTACACAGGAAGATACAAAAGGTCCCAACACACCAAACCAGCAGGTGTTTCATTCCTGAAAGGAGCACCAGCCACACATGAGAGGCTTTACAGACCCAGACCAGCTGGAAGGCTGGCTTAAAGTGCTATTAAAGCACATGAACTTTTGGGGTAAGAACTGCAGGAGCTGGGTGCTCTGCAGACCTTTGCTGTGGCTCAGCTGGGGAACCCTATTTGAACACCTATTTAAGTGTCAGAGGACCTTGCACAGGGTCACCCTCCTGCCCTCAACCCCATCATACCCACACACTCGTATCTATAACATGTCTAACAAAGAGCCATTCAGCCTGGGTGAACACTGCAGAGCAGCAGTGAGAGACAAGGGCTCTTTGGCCCCTCTGGAGGTCACAAACACGGTGCTCTGTCACCAACACATGGCTCGCTACAGCACCATTTATTACAGAGCCTGCCATCAAACCGCCCCAGCCTGTCCCTGTGCAGGGCAGAATCGGTCCAAGAAGTCCAGGTACACCTTCCTCTGTGGTGCAGCCGCAGGGACAAAGTGCCCGCCGGGGTGGCTGAGGACAACAGGCTCCACAAAGCACTGGGCCAGCTCCCTGCTGAGAGAGGCTGCGATGACAGCATCGGTGTCCCCCACAACGTGCAGCGTGGGCAGGGCGATGGGCTCCCTGTAGAAGTGCCCGTGGGCCGGGGCCCTGCTGGCAAAGCCGGCCACCAGGATGGCGAAACCCACCGGGAAGCGGGGATCCCCGCGGGCCCGCAGCGCGCACACCATAGCGGCCAGCGCCGCGCCCTGGCTGAAGCCCAGCAGCCCGTCAAAGGGCCCTTGCTCCGCCAGCGCCGCCGCCACGGCCGACAGCGACTCCTCCAGCCCCGCCGGCTCCGCCGCCGCTTCCGCCGCCTCAAAGGTGCCAGGCCCGGAGAACCACCAGCCGCGGGGGGGGTCGTCCCCGTCGCTGTCCTCACCGCCGCCGGGCACGGTGTGCGGCGCGCTGACCGGCACCAGCTCGGCGCGGCCCCGCAGGGCCTTGCGCAGCGCCCCGGTGCGCTGCCGGAACCGCGGCCCGCTCTGCCGGTACCCGTGCAGCGCCAGCAGCCGCAGCGGCCCCCGCTCCGACATGGCTCCCGTCGCCGCCGGAAGCCAACTGAGCCACTTCCGGCAGCTTCCGCCCCTTTTCCCGCCGAAACGCTTCGCGCTCATTGGATGGCTCGGAGGACTAGAGCGGCTCCGCGGTGATGCGTCAGAGCGCCCCCTGCTGGTGGGAGGTCGCGGAGCGAACGAGGATGCCGGGGGAGCGGCGGGATGGGACCCCCGGTGGGGCCGTGCAGGAAGGCTCGTCCATCGTACCGTCATCCAGGTACTGTCGGTGGTGCACCCCATCCATCCCGGTGCTGGTACCAGTACCCCCCGGTAGTGCTTACGGTGCTGACCGCTGTGCCTATGCCGGGTCCGGGAGCATGGCGACAGCAGGCTGGGGAGCAGGCTGTACTTAGGAGGCTGCTGGGGTGCTGGTGCTCTGCCCTTCCTTACTGGTGCTCTGCCCGCCCTCCACTGGGCTGGGGGGCACGGGTGGCTTCCCCTGCAGCAGAGAGAAGGGAGTCAGAACTGGGTCCCAACCCTGACCTGAGCTGTGATGAGCCTGTGCTCAGCCCGCAGCACCCCATAGGGCACAACTGGGGGCATCTCCCCCTCCTGGGCAGCCGTGGAGCCAGATGGGTGCTCACCCCGGTAAGGACTGGGGGAAGGACTCGAGGTCTCCTCCTCTCCACCGGGCTGGCACCGGCCCCGTTACTGTTCACCTCGAAGGAAGCCACAGGGTGGCGCCTTTGGCACATGGCACCGGGAGGCACTGCACCGCATACACCGTATGGCACCGCGCACCGTACAAGGACCGGTGTTCAACCCGTGCCAATGCTCCCATCGCACGTCCCTTCCACCCCACATGGCCACCAAGAGGCAAAGAGAGGCAAGAGAGACGTCAAAGGGATGGAGAGGGGACCTGGTAACACCGTGCTGCCCACCTGAGCCACCCTGCCGCGGTGCAGGGGCTGTGTGCCGGCGTGGTTCACCGTCCACGGCCCCAGGGACTGGCTGGCATAAAAGTCCATGGGGTAAGGCTGCTGCCACTCGATGTCCTGGAGAGCCACCATGGCCTGTGGAGGGGACAGGAAGAGTCCAGGGTGGGTCCCAGCTTGGTGTGCTGAGCAGGGCACTGCTGCGGTGAAGCTTGTGGCACTGGGAATCCCACTGGTTTCACATGAGATGGGGAATCCCAGTGGCACAGCCTGTTTTGGGGGTCCTCACCTCGTAGGGTGTCAGCAGGGGCTTGCTGAAGGCTTCTCCCCAGTCGATGGAGAGGCGGGGACAGGCTACCTGCACCCACCTGGAAAGGAAATGCATGGTGATAAATGGGGATGAGCGCTTTGGGATGAAGAAGCCACAAACTCCTGCAGCAGCCCCCTGGAAGGAAGCTGGGCAGGCAGGGAGTGAAGCCCCCACTGTTCCAGAGCCACCCTGCCAAGGACATCCATATCCTCTCCTTGCATAGCAAGGACAGGGGTGCACAGTGCCAGCAGGGCACCTTCCAATGGGAATCAGAGGCCTGAACAGGGATGAGGCACCCTGGGGACGGCAGCAGAAGGGAGTTTGAGGGGGGCTCAGCAGCACTCACGCATCCACATCAGGGAAGAGCTGCAGCTTGCTGGGGAAGATCTCAGACAGCAGCACCCTTATGAAGGGCCGACCCAGGGCATGGAGACGCGATTCCAGGTGCTGCAGGAGGGAAGAAGGCACCAGAGGGTTAGGAGAGCCCAGAGAAATGCCCCTGGCAAACCCCCTACAGCCCCTTTTCCTGGCCATCAGACCGTGTGTGTGTCCCAGCGCTGCCCCATAGCCTCACCCCCATGGCAGTGATAGGGATGGTGGCCACGACCCCAGCTCCAGCCCGGCTCTCCCTACGCCTGCCTCAGCCTAATGAAGTAATTACAGCTCAATGACAACAATCTGTTCTCGTTAGCGGCTGCCTTCCCTGGGCCGACCTCCTGCCTGCGGCCAGGAGCTATGGGAGGAGGAGGAGGATGGTCCAGGGATGTGTCCTTGTCCTCCGGAGCTGGCACTATGCAACCCTGTGCCCAGCCAGCCCCTGCCCATGCCTGTGTCCTGCTGCCACAGAACAGAAGCTGCTGGGCCCTCCCCACTCAATTCTGCCCACTGGTTCCTCCTGCACTGCCCCAAATCTCACCTGCAGCTCCCCAAAACCTTGGGCTCGGGGTACCCCACTCCCACAGGGCAGAACTCCCCTCGCCTGGCTGGGGTGCAGGAACTGCCAGTGCGATGGCTGAGAAGGGATAGTGAACCCTCTTGGAAGTTCATCCAATTAAAGCAAACGCAGGGAATTAACTGCCAAGCTGCCCATGCAGGGGGTCTCTAGGGCTGGCCAGCTCTCCCCAGCAAGGGGCAGGTTTAACAAGCCCTTCATCAGCTGCTAATTGCCCTACCTGCTCAGCTTAGGGTCCAGTGGCAAGCAATGGGCTGCCAGGTCTACCTTCACCCCAACAGCAAGGCCAGCACCAGTGGTACCATTCTTTCCCCTTCCCAGGGGCAGTGCCCAGTGTCCATGGGGAAGGCGCTGGTACCTGCAGGATGCTGGGGGAGCCCTGTCTCCCCAACGTGCCCAAGATGAGCCCCCAGGAGCGGGCACTGGCAGCGGTGCGGATGGCGTCCTGCCGAGCACGGTGCATGCGCTCGTGGCTGTAGTGCTCCTGGGAGAACACCTTGCTGTAGGGGTCATACCTGCAAAGCAGAGCCAGGCTCACACATACCCCATCACCTACCCCTTCCCTCCGTGCTGACCCAAATTACACCCTCCCCTCATTAGCACTAATTGCCTCCCAGAGCATCACTCCCTTTGGCTGCTGAAGAGCCCACCCAGCTCATTGAGGGTACAGAGAACGGGACACGGTGAGTGTCCCACCTCACCCCCCAACCTGGCAGAGCCTGGGCTCTACACAGCCCCATGCACAGCTCCCCCCTCATCCCAGCTCATCAATTATGAAGAAACCTTTGATTTGTTGCTTTGTTTGACGAGGAGAATTTTAATCAAATCCCACTCGGGCTCGGGCAGCTTCACCGAGCGCTATAAACCTGACGCGCGCCTCCCGTTAGTAACAAACGACCTACTAGGAAATTCAGATTTCACCAAATGGCCCCAGCCTTTCACTCTTGATATTTCATCTGCTTTCAGCAGCCTCATCATCGCACTTTATGGCCTCTGCCTGCAGCAGCCAGGGCTTTAATGGCTGCACCTCCACGAGCTTTCACAGGTACTTGTCAAAATGTTTGTATTCAGGCGGAGTAAATGGCTGGTGTTCATCACCCCGCTGCACCTCTTCACCTCTCACCTGCCTGTGTCCCTGCCTGCAGCTCAGCCCTCAGGTTTGGGGTGCTTGTGGGGTGGATGGTGGGGAGAACTAGTCCCTGGCATGCTGGGGAAACTGGGATGCTCCTCACTATGGGGGGACCAGAGTGGTACCCGTGGGCTGTGCGTACCTGTAGGCAGGTATCCCCGGGTTGGCAATCATGATGGACTCCAGGTGGAAGCGCCCATCACCCAAATACCTGCAGAGAGGGAAGGCAAAGCTATGGCACGCATTAAACAGCAGCTCCCATCTGTGTGCCTGCTGGTTTCCCAAGCCACAGTGTGTGGAGATGCTGGGAATGCAAGCTCCCGCACTGGGATGCAGGGCAGAGGGCGAAGCTCCCCATCTCCATGCAGCCCTCTGGCGGGTTGGGGTGGGAGAAATGAAGAGGGATGCTCCTGGTGGTCAGGAGCTGCTCCATCTCAATGCCTGCTTCCAGATGTTGCTGCTTCCATTTCTAATCAGATTTCAAGTCAGCAATTACATTTCAAAGCCTTTCATTCAGCTGCCCTAATGGAGTGAGGGCTTGGAAAATGAATTCAGACGTAAAACTTGACTAGATTTTGCCCTTAATTGGAGAATGACATTTTGGGAGATCAAAGCTAATTTGTCTGCAAAAGTTAGCCCCAGAGACGTGGGGGGGGGAAGAAAATAACAACATGGGGAGGATGCAGGTACAGCAGATGCGTGCACCTGAGCACCGCAGCTCCATTGGCACTGGGAATGGCCCACTCTTACCAATGCAGTGCCAGCCTGCTCTGACACCCCTGGGAAACAGGGAAAGCAGCACCTCTCCCTTGCCACTGATGGGGCTCAGGGTGAAGCTAAAGACCCCCCCGATCCCATGCCCAGCAATCCTAAATCCCGTCTCCCACACGGCCATGCTTGGGAATGCACCAACACAGCATTCCCAAACCCACACCTGGGCTCCCCAGCTCCCCCCAAGGGTGGGGTCCTTGTGTTTATTTATTCTGGAGCACACTGTATTCACAGTACATTAAGCATTTCCATTACCTAAAATAATTAGGTGATAGGAAGCGAAGTGCTCCCTCTAATTTGCTGTCCTTAAATAAAATTAATGTTGCCGTGATGTTGGGGCCCGGCCATTTGTCTTTTCCAATTATCCACCTGCCCTTCCATCTATTATCTATTCTGATATACGACTCAATTATTTCCTCTGTGCTACGAGCACACACCACTCAGAGCAGCCCAGGGAGATGGAGGGGGCCCATGGATGTCCCCTTAGACTCACCCCATGCACAGGCAGGGGGTACAAGCAGGAGGATGCTGGAGGACCTCAGGTACTTACACGATGGCATCTGTATCCTGGGCAAGCCGTGGTGATGTGCAGCCCAAAATCTCCCCTGGGGACAGTGGTTTGCACTGGGGCACACACACCTTGTACTGGGAGCGCAGCTCCTGTGCTGCTGCCTATGGGAGACGTGGGGTTAGCAAAGGAGAGACCAGTGTGGCTGAGGCTGGTGATGCTTGGCGTTGCTGGGGGTACCCCAGCCCTGGCAGTCGTTGTTGTGCCTCAACACAACAGCAGTGGAGGGGAACCAGTTGGGTAATGGTCCTGCACAGCCAAAACTCTCAGCAAGGCTGAGCCAACATATCAATTAAAAGACAAGAGAAAATGCTCAACGCTTCGATAGCCCTGTGTTTAGATAGACATGGCTCAGGAGGCTCATTCATCTCCTCCCATCCTGCCCAGCTGGCTATTGAGGGGCAGACAGACAGAGCCTCCGGAGCTTCCCCTGCCGCTGCCGGCACTGCATCAAAATGCCAAGTGCTCCACTGCCTGCCCTGACATTTACAGAGCAGCTCCCGGGGGAGGCAGGGAGGGTGCCGCCATGAAACATTGATCAGAGTTATT